ATTAGGCAAACCACTAATAAGGTCCCTACTAGTTATACATTCTGTGACATCCAAATATTAGGGAGCATTGCTAAAATTGTTGCAAGAGAATCCACAGAAAGTAGGATAACAAACAGAATTCTGTGAATTATGAATTCAAAGTTTTATGCAGAATGTTGGGTTTTATTTAACAGAAAGGAACTAGTCTCCAGAGCCACTAAGTCAACGTATAGGTGCCCACATATTGAAAAGGATCAATGCACTCTGAATAAAGAAGCGAACCTGATGAGTGAACCTTCGATCCGGGCTCCCAAATATCCTTGCTAAACCAAAATCTGCAAGTTTCAGCTGTCCATTTGGTCCTATCAATAAATTATTTGGCTTCATGTCCCTGAGGATTTATTAGCAAACTTTTCACTCATCACAAAAAGAATGTAATACAAATTTAGTGAACAAAAAGTAGCATGCTTTACCTATGCAAAACCCATTTTGGTGGCAATAAGCAAGACCTTTAAGTGTCATTTGAAGGTAGGATTTTATATCCGCTGGTGAAAGAAAAATATTTCGATCTCGTATAACAGCTTCAAGGTCCGTCTCCATGAATTCAAACACGAGATGCAAATTCCCTTTATGCGGGAATGCATCAATTAACTCAATAATATTGGGATCTTTGAGCTCTTTGAGCAGTTTAATCTCTCTAAGAGCAGTAAAATTTACCCCTTCCTTCTGCTTGCCAAGTCGAATTTTTTTAATTGCAACCGTCTGTCCAGTCTGTTCAAGCATAGAATTCAATTTCATAAGAGCGCCAACTAATGAAAGGATGCCACCTTTGCGTCAGCAAATGGTAAGAAACTCTTGTTTATACCCTATGGCACATATTTAAAGCCCAGAGGAGGCAAGAAAATAAACACCCTTTGCGAGTCATTGGAACTTTAGAAAAACAAACTATCGAAAAACTCGATTGTTTATTTATATTATTGTAAGGCCATATTTGAAGATCAATGATTTTCTGGGTCATCAACATTATTCAACCAAGAAGGCTCGTCATTCACATTAAGAGATCGAAATCTCTTTTCCAAATCATCTTCATTAACCCAATTTCCTCCATTTTTCGTTTTTAAAATCATGTTTCTAAGAACTGCAAGATAAGTTTGTTCCAAAATAAATTAAAAATTAGCATAAAAGCAAATGGTTTAATTGGAGTTACCTTTGTATCAATGGCTTTGTATACGACTCCATAGGTACCTTCACCGAGAACTTCACGCCTCAGATATCTATCGGCTACTTTCTTAGACGCATCGATGTCTGACATTTTCGCCCCCTCAAATTTTTGTCCTGATGCTATTATCGGAGCTAATTCTGCTTAAAATTAAAAATTAAGAATTTGCCAGTAAAACATTGCGAACTAATTGGGGCTCTGGCGAGAAGGAATCAAGATGCAAGAAAGCCGTTGAAAGCCCCATCAAGCTTTACTAATAAACACTGAAAGCAAGGCTAGCTAAAAGCGGTAGAAGCTGAAAGCTTGAAGGCCATCAACTCGCTCGTTTGTGCATTTTCCGAACGGCGTGCCGTTTACCGACAACGGAAGGGCACATCTCAGCCCTCGATTTATGAGATCGTGGCCATCCATTTCTTCCCCATGACAACGTCTCTTTCATTCATTTTTCAACTGTATTGCCTCAACGGTGTCGTTTGGAAAAAATGCAGCCCATTTTTTTTGTCTCATCTCAGTGATTTAGCCACGCATGGGATAAAACGGGTTACTACAAGCGCACCTTACCTCCAAAAATTTTAACCAAAATTTAAGTATTAACATTTCAAAGTAACTTTTAAATAAACTGAATAAATTGTACAAGCTTTATCTAAATTGTAAACCAAGTATAAATGATTTTATTAATATTTAGAATTAGACAAAAAAATCTCCGACAATTTCATGTTTATGTAAATAACGTCTTATTATCAATTATTTCGTTATTTCAGTAATAAAACATAACATGCTACTCATCATATGCCTTCTATTTTTTTTAATCTAGCTAACTCAAACTTCGTTTTACATGTAAATAAACTTTCCAAATTTAGGTTATGCGCAAATAAACTTTCGTCATATTACTAATTCCTTTAGGTAGGCAAAAAAGACAAACTAACAATAAAAAGTGATTTTATTAAACATATTTTTCATAGTAATAAAATTCATTATTAAAATAAAAACAAATAATTATGGAAATACGACTACAATATAGGATCCACACGTTCTTTTTTTTTTTTTTTTTTAAGTATTTCCTGCATGGGCCGTTGTGATTGTTGGCATTTTCGATTAGATTTTGAACGTTGACTTCCGATAGCCTCGCCATATGATCAACCATTTGTTTATAGGCGCCAACCGCCAAATAAGACTGATGACTGATGAAGAAAGAAAGAAGGTGTTAATCGGGAATTGAATCAAAAGAATCGAGAATCCTCTTGCAGGCATAGAAGCGCGAAAATGGGGGAAGTGAAGCTGATTGCGACTCCTCAGAGCTTTCCCTGTGCCAGAATCGAATGGGCCTTGAAGATGAAGGGTGTGGAATACGAATACATCAAAGAAAATCTGCTCAATAAAAGCGACCTGCTTCTTCAGTCCAATCCTGTACACAAGAAGGTACCTGTTCTTCTCCATAACGGCTTACCTATTGCTGAATCCCTCGTCATCCTCGAGTACATCGACGAGACTTGGAAGCAAAACCCTCTGCTTCCACAGGACCCTCACGATCGAGCCCATGCTCGTTTCTGGGCAAGATTTATCGATGAGAAGGTATTATTGATCTCACTTTCTACATATTTTGCATCCCTATATCTTTCAAAGAAGTTTTTGTTTGATTGATTGTTGATCGTTAATTCAAGAGTTATAACAGCATCAGTTCGAATGATATGCTCTGATCTGATTTCGGATCTTTACCAAGTCTTTTTACGATTTGATTTGCGAAGTGTATGTTCAGTTTCAGAGAACTGAACCCACTATCATGATTCATGAGTCAATATTACCTCTTGGATTGGATTAAAACTGAGCTAAAATTTATAGCTATTGTTGGCTAAGGAGTGATCCTTTTATAGTTAACCCCACCAGGTTGAATTTAATGTTTCAATCTGAGCTCAGTCCTGTACTAAGCCAAGTGTTCATCATATTTGGTTGGCAAATATGCACATAATATTCATTGGAATCATCATAGAATATATTATGTATTATGGTAAGCCATCTGTTGAGTATATATAATAGAGTTTGGTTTACAGCATTCCTTGTCTTGTTTTTCTTTTTTTTTTGGGGGCCTTGGCCCGAGTTTGCTCAGTTCTTACAAATTAACATGAAATGACAGTGTGTGGCTGGTGTGTGGGGAGCTGGGGTGGCACAAGGAGAAGGAAAGGAGAAAGCCATAGAGTCAGCTCTGGAGTTACTGGCTCTTCTGGATAAGCAGATCGAAGGGAAGAAATATTTTGGTGGTGAAGAGATTGGGTATTTGGACATAGTAGCAGGTTGGATACCTCATTGGCTGAATGTTCTGGAAGAACTTGGAGAGATGGAGTTGCTCACTGCTGAGAGGTTCCCTCATCTTCATCAATGGAGCCTTAACTTGCTGCAAACTTCACCTGTCAAAGACTGCTTGCCTCCCAGAGATTCTGTTGTTGACTACTTCAGTTTCGGCTTCAACTACGTGCGTTCCATGGCAGCCAATAAATAATAAACCGTGATGAAGATATAAACCCTCACATTCTGAATAATATTGATGATGAAGAACTTGCATGGTTTCCATTTCAATTAGTTTTGGTCGCTTGAGCTGGATGTGTATGGAATATTTTGACGATAATTTATGATACTGTAGTGATTGTGTGTTTATGCTAGGCTTTACACATATATGCTTTTGAGCTTTCGGATCTTTGTATGATGGTAAGAAGCTACGTCAAATACCAAAAAAGATATGTTAGGAATGAAGATTGGATGATAACAGAAAATAATATTTGTCAAAAATATGATGATTGTTGACTTCAAATGTTTAAACAGGAGTGTTTGGTTTTTAGAGGCGCAGAAACGACAGCAAATTGAATGAAGCTCTTATTCATGAAATTTGATACAATCACTGCTGAACAATTTATACTCGTATCCACAACGGAATTTAAATACACCATCTTATATTATGAGTCAAATTCTTAGTAACCAGGTTACCTTTTGTTGACATTAATTGTTGGTGTAGATTTTTTTAAAAGAAATACAAGAAACATGTAGTTTTTTGGGCCTATGTCAAAGTATTGGCAAAAAAAATTTAAGCTATGAAAAAAAATATTACTCCTGTCCTAAATATGAAAAGGAATTGAGGATTGGACTTGATTTTAAACATAAAAGGTTAATATATTTTGTTTCACAAATTTATAATTATTTTTTTAAAGTATCTCTATTACTTACACATACTAAGAAGTTTTTATCAAATGATAGTTATGATTAAAAAGAGTATTTTGAAAAAAAAATTAACTCATATTTATTATAAAATAATTAAGTTCATTAATTTTCTTAATATATCTAACTTAGTAAAGTAACTTTTATATTAAGAACTAGATGTTGAAAGTGTTCATATTAGCTTTTTAGAAGTGATTTTGCCATATACAAGGTAAAAAAAAATTTTTTTTATCTTGATATATAAAAATATATTTTTTTCAATTGGTTGTAGGAGCATCCAAACTTGCATGTGGTAAATCTTTTTAGGTAGAAGGAGGAGAAGAAACAGATTACAGGTTGAATTTGGATCTTCCAATTAAATCTTAATTAATTAATGAATATTAACTATCAAATCGTGATCTAATAATAAGTAAATTATTTATCTCAACATTTTACGTGGCAAAAAGTAGCAGTATTTCCTACATCGACCGTTGTGGCCTTTTGCTTTTTCAATTAGTTTTTAGGACAATGATTTTGAACGTTGACTTCCGCTGGCCTTGCCATACAATCATGCATATGGGCCAAATAAAGAATGCAGCTGTTAAATCAGGAGATCAAATCAAAAGAATCCAGGATCCTCTTGCAGGCTTAGAAGCGCGAAAATGGGGGAAGTGAGGCTGATTGCGACTCCTCAGAGCTTTCCCTGTGCCAGAATCGAATGGGTCTTGAAGATGAAGGGCGTGGAATACGAATACATCAAAGAAAATCTGCTCAATAAAAGCGACCTCCTTCTTCAGTCCAATCCTGTACACAAGAAGGTACCTGTTCTTCTCCATAACGGCCTACCTATTGCTGAATCCCTCGTCATCCTCGAGTACATCGACGAGACTTGGAAGCAAAATCCTCTGCTTCCACAGGACCCTTACGATCGAGCCCATGCTCGTTTCTGGGCAAGATTTATCGATGAGAAGGTATCATTGATCTTACTTTCCATATATTTGTATCCTCATATCTTTCAATTTGGTTTTTGTTTGATCCATTGCTGATCCTCAATTCAAGAGCTATAACTGTTAAGTCGGGACTAAGTTCATTTCACTCAACAGCAATAGTTCAAATGTCAGTCGAAAAAAGAAAAAACAGCAATAGTTCAAATGACATGCTCTGATCTGATTTCGGATCTTTACCAAGAGTTTTTTTTAACGAAATGATATTTGTGAAGTGTACTTTCAGTTCCAAAGAACTTAACCCATGATCATGAGTCAATGTCGATTGTTGGATTGGATTGAAACTTGGCCAGAGTTTATAATTGTGAGCCAGTCAGTTTTAGTTAATCCCACCAGGTCAAATGTAATTTTCAATCAGATTTCAGTATGTATTGAGCACTGTCAAGGCATAATCTTTGTCCCACCCAGAGTTTTGATGGATGTAAATATGCCAGGTGAGCTCACTATGGGATCTAACTAGCTGATACAACTGAGCCGGTCTTCTGAACTTTGGGTTTACTTCATAAACTCTGCTATTTGGCTGCCCGATATGAACAATATATTCATTATTGTAACTATTATAGAAGACTCTGCATTTGTTATTATAAACCATCTTTTGAGTCTATATACCCTCAATGGTGCAGCATAATTTACAGCATTCCTTGTCTTTTCTCTCTTCTCTGTGCCTTTCTTTTATAATACCGTTTCCCGGGATTGGTCAATTCTTACAAATTAACATGAAATGACAGTGTGTGGTGGGTGTATGGAGAGCTGGGGTAGCACAAGGAGGAGGAAAGGGGAAAGCCATAGAGTCAGCTCTGGAATCACTTGCAGTTCTGGAAAAGCAGATTGAAGGGAAGAAATATTTTGGGGGAGAAGAGATTGGGTATTTGGACATAGTAGCAGGCTGGATACCTCATTGGCTGAATGTTGTGGAACAAGTTGGAGAGATGGAATTGCTCACTGCTGAGAGGTTCCCACATCTTCATCAATGGAGCCTCAACTTGCCGCAAACTTCACCTTTCAACGATTGCTTACCTCCCAGAGATTCTGTCGTTGACTACTACAATATCGCCTTCAACCGCGTACGTTCCGTGTCAGCCAATAAATAATAGTAAACCATGATGAAGATATGAACCCTCACATTATGAATAATAGTATTGATGATGAAGAACTAGCTTGGTTTCCATTCCCATTAGTTTTGGTCGCCTGAGCTGACTGTGTATGAAACATTTTGGCAATCATTTATGATTCTGTCGTCGTTGTGTGTTTTTACGCTAAGCTTCACACATATATGGTTCTCATTTGAAAAACAAATTTTCCCCCGAAAAGCAATTTTTTTGGGGGAAAAAAATAACACACCACTATTGTCTCTCTCTATAGTGTGTGTTATATTTAATTAAAATATCTTTATTATTTTCTTACAGAAAAATTATAGAAAGTTAGGTCTCAAAGGTTTACGGATAAATTCCCGACTTTAGTTGAATATCTATAGAGATATTTATTACTTATTGTTCACTATTTTGCCAGACGGCAAAATTTAAACACACGACCATACTTTATGAGTTATTACTGGGAGAATTACAACAAGATTCTAAGAAGAAAATAATTATTAAGAAGTCTCAATAACAACTAAGTAGCACAAGTTTCAGAATAAAAATGACAACTTATAAGACTTATTTTGTATTATTTTTTTTTTTGAAACCTTATTGTAATTCTCTCATTATTATTTATTAGGAAGACCCTTACTTATGGATTTTGTTGCCATGACTGTTTTTAAAATGACATCAATCAATTATGCTTTAAAACAATATATTCACATTTGTTTAAGGAAGAATTGCAACAAAAAAAAAAACCTTTAAATTACAAATCACTTTAATAACCATGGACAATATTTAAAAATAAAGAACAATACATTTTTATAGTCATTCTTGATTTAATTTTGAAATTTCAAAGGTATTTTTTTAAAGGATTTTTCCTTTGTTGAATTCACTTCATAATTTGAATATTTGAATATTCTCAAGCACACAGCGGAACCAAGCTGTTGTATTGTAGTCACTCATTACACATTGAAGGAGGATAAAATAAACGCAAGCACTTGATCAGTTGAGTTAACGCACACGCATCCTCTACTACTATAAATAAGTGCCCCTCCCACACCAAAAAAAAAAAATCAATATATCGATGCCTGGGATGAGTCTGAGAGAACCGGTCATTGTGTTGGACTACCAAACCCGTTCGAGTTGAAAAATTAAAATTGAAGGAGGATCGTAAGAAGTTGAAAAGATTAAAAAAAAAAAAAAAAAGCAGCCTCCACAGAAGCAAATAATTTTATAATATTAACCATCAGATTGTGATCTAATAAATAAATAAATGTCTTTAACATTATTAGATCACGATCTGATGTTTAATACATCTAAATCCTTGGTCTTTAACAACTCATATTTAGCTTAAGATTCTCTAGAAAACTTCCTCACTTAGCTTAATTAATCTCAAAACAAACAGTCCTAAATAGCAATACCTCTAGTTCTAAATATAAGATTTGATTTGTAACGCAAATCACCCTACAAACTAAATCTGATATTTAGAATTTTAGTTGATTGGGTTTGGGCCCTCCCATTGTACCCAAAAAAATCTTATATTTGGAAATTGAGGTAGTAGTTCGTAAATCCTCGAGTTTTTTTTTTTTTTGGACCAGCACGTAAATCCTCGAGTTAGTAACTGTGGGCCTAGTAACAAGATATAGAATTGCAATATTTTTATTTGGAAAATTTTTTTTTCTGGCTGGAAATCTTCAGTACGTTGATTCTACAGCTAGGTTGCCAGCGAATAAAACATTATATAGTAAGAAACAAGCAATTTAGCAGCATATATGATACAGCAAAGCAGTTGAGAGGTTCCTCACCAAAATCGTCATGCTCAAGCAGCAGGAGGTAAGAACTTTTATGGAACTCACACACTGGTTCTGTGAGATAATTTCCACATATAGCAACACCAAACAAGTTATCAAACAGAAATGATGTTCCAAATTGACGTGGCAATAAAATGTACCTGGATTCGGCAGACAACAAAAGCACCATTTTTCACAAAGAGAGGTCTGTTTCTCATAGGTCTCGTTGTCTTTGGATCAGTTTGCTGTAGGAGTTCAACAATCTCACATTCTTCAACAATACAGTGGATCTGCAATACCGCCTTGTACCCAGCAGTAAAAATAGCCTAGAAAGTGATGTAACATCGGTTAATCTTATTGAAGATTATACAGAAACTATCTATCTATATATAAAACTATGAGAACTCCTTAGCATATGCATACTGCACTGAAATCCAAAAAGTAACACCCAGATGAGAGAATATTTACACTGTCCAGCAATTCAAGAATCCGCAGCTGAGCCACAAACTCAGTAACAGCTGGTATTGGATTTTCTGCAGGAGGAAAAATGAAAACAAAAATGACATTAAAATATGAACAGCGAATGGATATCGATGTTTAGAAAAAGAAACAACAGTAAAGTACTGGAAACCATATTTAATTCAGTAGAATCCCATTGATGAAGATTTGAAATCCAAGTAATATATATTGCATTCTTTATTCACTAGGTGAAAGCAAAAGAATGGTGAATCAGCAGTACTGGTAAAAGTTAGCTGAGCCAGTCTGAGAGCATCTCATGGTTCAGATACTTCAGGGCATCCTATCAGATGCAGAGATGAAATATGAACCATAAGATAGATCACTTGTTGCCTAATTTTAGCACAACTGAAATTGCTGGTGATAATATTATCTAGATTATTCCACAAAGCAACACTGGATAGAACAAATCACAACAAAAGGAAACAAACGAAGGGAGCGGAAAATGCTTACCAACACTAGACAGTATGAACCCGCTTAATATGTCTTTTTCAACACCAGATATTCTAACACGTAGATTCTCACCAGGTCCTGATTGTTTGACCCTATCTTCATCAATGAATACAGCAACAACTTTTACATGATCCTGCTATTATTTTTTGGCAGTGTTCCATGTTTACCGAGTCAGAAAAAGAGGAGAAAGCTCACAACTCAAGGAATATTAGAGAGCAGAATAAGGTCCAACCCTATTTGGGATGCAACTTTTCCCATAACAACAGTTCCCATGTCTTTGAATTTGTCAAGAATAGGCATCCTGTTCAAATCAGAAGTTCAACAATAACAAGGAAATTGGTCATCCAACTTTCTTTTTTTTTAGGAGGGAAAAGACTACATATTTTTCAGCAGAACCCTTAAGCAATCAACAGAAACATAACATAACAGCTGAATCAGCAAGAACATAAGAGGCAATAAATACGAACATTGGGATATTCTAAAATCAGCATATACAGTTTTCAAAGAAAATTTTCTGGTAAAGTGGTAAGATCTTACAAACTCAGTACAGTCCTAGCAACCTACTAAGAAAATTTAATCCTGGTGGAAAGATTTACCATATTTGAAATTTAAAGACGCACCATATGAATTACACATCTGCCCACTTTGAAGACAAATGACAACTTTCCCAGTTGCTAGATTACACAATGACACTTCATGCAAATAAGGTAAAAGGCACATCACCTGAAAGGGCCTTTGGGGTCCCGAGGTGGAGTTTCAACACAATCAAGGGCTTCAAATAGGCAGGGACCATCCCACCAAGGACAGGTGCTTTTATCCACTCTTGTTTTTATGTTTGCACCAGTCAGCGCAGATAAAGGTAAAAACAGCACATCTGGTAAATTAAAGCTTGTAAATTAGTATCACATCCCTAACCATTTAAATGCCAAACACCTAAGAATGACATTAAATACTTTATTAAAATAATTTCCTTAATTGGGGTTTCTCAGCCATTTTCCAAGCTTTTCAAGTAGCTCACGATTGAGATAGTTGTAGAGCAGTAAGATCAAAATAAACAATATATTTAAAAAACCCAACCTGAATTCTATGATTAACATCCCCATTAATTTCATGATCTTCATGTATAATTGAACTTGCTAAGCACCAGTACCTTAGTTCACACTGTCGCCCGATGACTTAAGAAAAGGAATCATCTTTGACTCAATTTCATCATACCTAGAAACACAACACAGGTAAGAAATCTCTTAAAAAACGGAAGTGAAGAAGGGAGGAGAGAAAATAAGGAGATGATAGAGTGGGGGGATGAGAGAGCACCTTTCTTTTGACCACTTCACTGCAGGCTCGTCCATTTTATTAACAACAATCAGCTTAGACACACTTATTGTTTTTGCAAGCTGGACATGTTCACGGGTTTGTCCACCTCTTTCATGTCCAGTTTCGAATTCTCCCTTTCGAGCAGAAATTACCTGGCAAAATAGGGAGAGATCATCACATGTCTGCTAATCAAACCCCACCGGAGATCAAGAGAGAGTTTGACACATCATAATCCGCTTACCAAAACTCCAATATCAGCTTGGGCAGCACCACTGATCATGTTGGGGACATAGCTTTTGTGGCCCTACATAATAATTATTCAGGTGAGACAGAAGGGTAGAGACTAGGACATACATTCATTTAAAAACATTAAAATTTCCAAGAGAACATCATCATCATGATCAATATAAACAACTACAAGACACGTCAACTATGTGAATGTGCGTCCGAAAAGCTAGCTTCTATACCAAACAATTGTTTAAGAGAATCTGCAATTTCAAAGCATGTAAAACAAATCGAATCAGAATCATGAAAAACAGATACACAGGTGCATCCCAAATTGTAAACCTTGTTTTTTCTGTCTCAAAATGCGCCCTTCCAACTTCAACTGTTTTGCCCTGCGATTGGGACAACTTGTTAACAAAACATAAAAGCAAAACTAAGCACATTGGACGAAGCATTCAAATCCTTATAGCTAATAAATTCATGGCCCATACCTTTACCCTCTCCTCTTCATTAGTGTCCACTATATAAGCCATATACCTAGTATATAAAATCATCAATTAATCATGTGTGTGTGTGTATAATGATAGAAAGATACATAGTAGGAAGGTAGATAGATAGACAGATAGATAAATCAAAATCCTGTATAATGGCAGCCGTGAAGAAAAATTTACATTTTTATTCATTCATTCAATCATTAAAAATTTGATTAATTTAATTTAATTTTATTAACTTAATTTCATTATTTATTCATCTGTTTTTTTAAGTCTTTGATCAAGTCACATATTATAGTCCAATCATATGAACTACTGCTAACCCATATAATGATTAAAGAACCTTGTAGACAACTTACCAACATGACCAACGAACAGAACATCCA